GTGCGGAAAGAAGTTTTGTTAGTCATTCATTTAAACACCTTCTCAACCATAAATCCCAACCTTTAACCGAAACATTTACCGTTGAGATGGCTAATGGAAAGAAAGAGAGCACTAACGACATATTCATAGGCTGTAACCTTACCCTAAACGACCATTCTTTCCCAATCGACCTTATGCCAGTTTCCATAAAAAGCTTCGATATCATCGTCGGCATGGATTGGTTGAACCCCAATCGTGCTGATATCCTTTGTTATGAAAAAGCCATCCGCCTCAATCTGCCCTCGGGCGAAGCCCTCATAGTCTACGGTGATAAACTCAGCTCAAACCTTCGTATCATTTCATGCATCCAAGCCCAGAAATATCTGTGGAAGGAATGCCATGCATTCCTAGCCCATGTTGTTAACGAGAAACAGGAAGTTAAAGACCTCGAGAGCATCCCCGAAGTCTGCAACTTTCCTGATGTCTTCCCCGAAGATCTTCCTGGAATCCCTCCCGAACGCCAAATCGAGTTCCGTATCGACTTAATTCCCGGAGCTACTCCTATAGCTAAATCCCCATACCGTCTAGCGCCGACAGAAATGCAAGAGTTATCCAGCCAGCTCAATGAGCTGCTCAGTAAGGGATTCATAGACCAAGTTCCTCACCCTGGGGAGCCCCGGTCTTGTTTGTAAAGAAGAAAGATGGATCTTTTCGGATGTGCATAGATTATCGTGAATTGAACAAGCTTACCATCAAAAACCGTTATCCCTTACCCAGAATCGACGACCTCTTCGATCAACTCCAAGGAGCCGGCTATTTCTCAAAAAATAGACCTGAGATCAGGGTATCATCAGTTGCGAGTTCATGGGAATGATGTTCCAAAGACAGCATTCCGAACTCGCTATGGTCACTACGAGTTTGTAGTAATGCCCTTTGGTCTAACCAACGCACCCGCCGTATTCATGGAACTGATGAATCGGGTGTGCCGCCCTTTCCTAGACAAGTTTGTAATAGTTTTCATTGACGATATACTTGTCTACTCTCGGAGTGAGGAAGATCATAGACAACACTTGAGGCTAGTGTTAGAAACACTAAGGGCGGAGAAACTTTATGCAAAGTTTTCAAAGTGCGAATTCTGGATCAGAAAAGTAACTTTCCTTGGTCACGTGGTTAGCGAGGAAGGCATACACGTGGACCCTTCCAAAATCAAAGCGATTGAGAATTGGTCAGCACCAAAGACGCCCACAGAAATCCGTCAATTCTTGGGTCTCGCTGGCTACTATCGCAGGTTTATCCAGAACTTCTCCAGAATCGCCAAGCCTTTAACCACCCTGACTCAGAAAGGTGTACCCTTTTGTTGGGGAGAAAAGCAAGATACTGCGTTTCAAACATTGAAGCAGGCCCTATGCAGCGCACCTATCTTGTCTCTGCCTGAGGGGACGGAGGACTTCGCTGTCTACTGCGATGCATCCAATCAGGGCCTAGGCTGTGTGCTCATGCAGCGAGGAAAGGTTATTGCATATGCCTCGAGACAGCTGAAAACACACGAAGTCAATTACACAACTCACGATCTAGAGTTGGGAGCAGTGGTCTTTGTGTTAAAGATTTTGAGACATTATCTCTACGGAACCAAGTATACTGACTTCACCGACCATAAGAGCCTACAACATATCTTCGATCAGAAAGAGTTGAACATGAGGCAACGGCGATGGGTAGAGCTACTCAGTGATTATGAGTGTGAAATACGTTATCATCCCGACAAGGCCAATGTGGTAGCGGACGCCCTCAGCCGGAAAGAGTATTCAGGTCGTAGAGTGAAGACACTGACAGTGACTATCCATTCCCATTTATCCGCTCAAATCAGAGAGGCTCAGCTGGAAGCCTTAAAACCAGAAAACATGTCGGATGAAGCCTTGAGAGGAATGGAAAAGAACTTAGAGGTCAAGGGAGACGGAGTTTACTATTTCATGAACCGGATCTGGACCCCGAAGTACGGCGGTTACAGGGAGGTTGTCATGAACGAAGCTCACAAGACTAGATACTCCGTTCACCCAGGTTCAGATAAGATGTATCTGGATCTCAAACAACTCTATTGGTGGCCTAACATGAAAGCAGAGATCGCTACCTTCGTGGGCAAGTGCCTGACTTGCGCCAAGGTGAAGGTGGAATATCAAAAGCCCTCAGGTCTACTTCAACAACCAGAAATTCCTGAGTGGAAGTGGGAAAAGGATTACGATGGATTTCATCACTATGTTGGCATTTTGAGCCCTAGATGCCATGCATGAACGTAAAGCTTGCAGCTTTACGTGATGATTCAGCCTTAGAAGGCTAGATCTAGAGTATGAGACCTTATTTCTGCCTGAAATCGTCTGAATGAGAAAATGGACTGAAAGGACTTGACGAGTTGGTGAGCCGAGTCGACGAGTCGGCTAGGGTTTTCCCCGATGAGTCTGGACACGTTGTAACTCGGCGAGTTGACGAGACAACTCGACGAGTTAAGTTGGATTTTCACGACATTCTGGGGAAACAAGGGAACTCGACGAGTCGCATAGATGCACTCGACGAGTTGGGTCAACATGGACTGTTGACTCAATTGTTGACTTCTATTGACTTTAGGGTTGGTCAAGACTTGGATTGTGGAGACCATGGAAGGGTAAAATGGTCTTTTACCCATTCCAAGAGTTAGAGTGAGGGGTTAGCTTAATTTATTTAGAGTTGTGGTTATAAGTGTTAATTAGAGATGATTATGGCATGTAGGCGGGGATTAGACTGTTCGAGGGGTACGAGGCTTACTTGCTTACTTACGAGGTGAGTCTTCTCACTATACTTACCTGAGTGGTAATACTAAGTGACCGGAGGGTCATACATGCTTATACTGAGTTATGTGATTCTGTACATTTGTCTTTGTGATATATGTTGTATGTTATCTTGTGCTTTATTGGTTGAGACCGGAGGGTCCAACCCGAGTTGTGAGACCGGAGGGTCTTCACTGAGACACATGACCGGAGGGTCCTTATCGAGATATAGCCATGAGAGGCTAATTATTGTGTGTGGTATTTTGAGGAACTCACTAAGCTATGTGCTTACCGTGTTGTGTGATATGTGTTACAGGTACTTCTCAGGATCGCGGGAAGGCGACTGCTTGATTGTACACACGAGATGGAGTTTATGTTTTGAGGATCCTGGATTTTATCAAACAATTTATGAATTTGTGTTTTTTACATTTGAAAATTGGGGTTTTTGAAATATGATATTGAGAATTATGTGATTTTGAAAATGAAAAAATTTGTTTGAAAATTTACGGTGTTACATCTTAATTTCAATTGGTCATTTTTTTGAATGATCAAATAGAAATGATGAATTAAAACGTAGGTAAAAAGGTTCGCAGATCAAAACTTTAATAAGAAAATGGAGAATACGTAACTAAACAATTATTGAGTATTTGGTAGCAACTGAAAGAGTTCTATATCAATCAGATAACAAGAATGTGTAATTAGAATCGAACTATCAAATAATGGAATCAAGATTATAATGATTCAAAATATATTTTCATTGATGATTAAACAGAAATACCGAATTCTATTTTGATTTAATGGAGATGGCGGTTTCTTACATATCAAAAAGTGCCTTGGCTTAAGTTGGTAAAAACCATACATGGTCGGTTTGGGGGAATTGGTCAATTTGGACGTGGGCTACTTTGGTCAAGACATTCGATCATCTTCATAATCATAATATAATTAATCACGACACGTTCGTTAAAACGCTAGGTGATGGAACCATAATGTTTTTTTTGGGAAAGAATATTGGCGTAATATGGGATAGTTTAAAGATATTTTTCCCAGACCATTTCAACTTGAGGTTCAAAAAGATTGCTTTAGGTTTGCACTCGATGGTTCAAATATGTTCCGATTAAAATTAATGTGATGGTGTGGCGGCTTCTTTTGAATGGCATGCAAACTAGATCTAAATTGGCTTATCGATGTATCGATATTCTCACTTCACTTTTCGCTTCATGCGATAACGTTGTTGAGGAGAACAATTATGTCTTCTTGTTTTGCCATATTGCGACTCAAGTGTGGATTTTCATTAAGAAGTGGGTCAACCTTCCTCTCCCTCCTCCGATTAACATTGTGGTGCTTATGTCTTGGTGAATACACTTTGACAAAGATAAAATGAAATAATTTGGAGGTCATTGTTCTTACCACGATTTGGATGTTATAGAGGTTTAGGAATAACATGGTTTTTCAAAATGTCAAGTTTCCTAGATGTGATATTATTGAATGGATCATCCTTTAATCATTTTAGTGGTTTAGGTTTAGAAATAAGAAAATTTCGATTTCTTGGATCTCATGGCTCCAAAATCCTTTGTTTCATATTTCATTGCAATTCTTAACTAGCTTCTTGCTAGTTGGTTTTTAATAAAAATGTTTAAGCTTTTAAAAAAAATTATCAAGTTTTTACAAAATGAAACTGAAAAATATAAAATTTAATAAAACAGAATAACTAGCTTAACATAACTACCTAACTAGCTAGTTATAGACATGAAAGAAAATGTATGGGTTGTAAAGGTCAATTAGATTAGGACACTAAAGTAAACACATGTAAAATCAAAACTAGGGGTGAGAATCGATTCGGTTTACGGTTTCTTTGATTCCTCAGTTTCTAATTCGAAAACCGAACCACATCGAATTCAAATTCTCTAGACCAAACTGAAAACCGAATTCTAATTGGGTTTGGTTCGGTTTGAAAACCAAGGGAACCAAATATTACCTTAAAAAAATTAGTGTTGCAATTTTCCAAACATAAATTACAATGTTTTTAACATAGAAACCTCAAGTTGCAAACAAAAAGATTAAAATTTCATATAAAAAAGATCCAAAGTTTCATACATAAAATGAAAAAATGGTACTAGTACTAGCCATAAACAAAAAGTTTAACTTCCAAGTTCTAATTTCCAAACAAACGTATAAAACATGAAGTTCAATAGTTGTTCCTAGTGACTTGCCAATGTTTGATCCCATTTATATATCAAGAACAATTGATTCCGCCGACAATTCTCGCACGTCTACAATAGAAGATTTTAAAATCAATACATAATATAATTACAATAAACATAAGAAAATTCAGTACCAACTTACCTTCTTCAAACTTATCAAGATCTTCAATGTTTTCTTCCACATTGACTTTAACATCACTTGAGTGGATCCAATCTTGACAACATATTAACGCTTGCACAATTTTTGGAGTTGAATAACTCCTGAATGAATCTAGTACCCTTCCCCGGGTACCAAAAGTGGATTCAGATGCCACTGTTAAAACCAGAATACCTAACACATCACGAGCAACAAACGATAAGATAGGAAACATACCGCACCTCTTTTTCCACCAACCCAAAACTGTGAAATTGTCACTCTGAAAATATTCATCTTCTTCTTCAATATCCTTTGTCAAGTATCTTTCTTGCTCAGACTTAGAATCGTTTGCCCACTGGATTCTGCTTTCCTCCTTTTCACATCGGCTAACATTTTCTGTCGAAGTGATCTAATGGCATTAGCACTATTACCAAACAAACCCACATCATGAGAACTTTGAGTACCAAAGCTAGATGAATGAGAAGGCTTTTACATGTTGATCTGAATGAATCCACTGCAGATATCATCAAAAATTGGAACTGTACAATGAAAGCACTAGAAAAAGAAAAAAAAACATCTGGTATGTAATCGAAAACTAAAACTAACAGAAAAAGAAAAAAAAATAGAAGTCTAGTATGGAATCGGAACTGCATAAGTAAAATTTTCCTTGTTTACAATCAAAGAAATCGAAAACTAACAGAAAGAACTTTAGGTTAAGAGAATTACGATATTACCTGTGATTTCTTGGCTAAAGTCGAGTATGGAACTATCGATTTTAGGTGGTGTTGCACTGTTGTTGGAGTGACAAATTCAAGGTGTTGCTGCTGCTGGACTATCGATAGTGTCGTCGATTGTAGCCTTCCAGTTACAACATTTTTGGAGAGACAGAGTGTCATCATCGATTACGATTTACGTGAGTCGTGAGGGTGAAGCTTGAGTGAACGAGTGGGAATGACAATTGAGGAATCGAGTTTTGACGATTGGAATTTCATGAGGGCTGCCTTGAAGCCTTGAAGTGATCAATTTTAACCTTACGTAAAATAGTAAATGGGCTAAAATAAATTTTACTTTATAATTAATATTTTTATTTAATATATAAATATATAATATATTTTTAAATTAATTAATTTATGAAATTCGGCTTTTCGGTTTGGTTTGGTTTAAACTTCATGAGACCGAAACTCGAACCAAAAACCAAATTCACAATTCAGTTTGGTCTCAGACCAAACCAAAAACCGAATTTGAATATGGTTTGGTTTGGAATCGATTTTGGTTCGATTTGGTTTTCGGGTTTTTCGGTTCCGGACCAAATAATTCTCACCCATAATCAAAACCATATAGCCAAATTACGAAGATGCTAAAGAAATGATGTCTGGATCCATTATTTTTTTTCATTTTTGACATGAAATATTATGCGGCGAACATAATTGTTTCCTTTTTCTGCGAATTTTCTTCAACCAACACGTTCCTTAGGCTCTGGCTTGATTGATGATGAGGATCAATAACTTGAGAATTATATATCTTTCGATATAGCAAGACATCACCAGCTTAAATAAAAGTGGGAGTTACTAGTAGGGTTCCCATTAAACGCTAATATACTTCTCAAGCTCCTTGACCTAAAATAGCAAATTTCAATAGAAAATATGACCCAACGATGTACACCCGAATGAAGTAAAACGCAACAAAATATGTTTACATCGAGGCGCCACTATTGATTATTGATGGTGCTAGCATTGGGCTTACAAATAGGTCTTTGTAAAAATACCCCATTGCCCAAACTTTGAAAGAGGTAGTTGTTATCATTTTGTATTTGGTTGATTCGTCCCTAAGTTGGAGTGACACTGCTATAAGTCTATAATAGTCAGGCCGGCCCTGTCACTAATTTGTCGTTAATACGTTAATATCGGTTCACTAATTTGCCCCCATCAATATTTTTTTAATTTTTGTTCCACTAGCACGTCATCAATCACTTTATATTTTGTACCAAGTATATTACATATTTATAATAAATAAACTGTTAATTTGTTTTTTGTATAGAGATTAGAACAGTATCCATGTTTTAGACAATATTTTTGTAAAAGAAAAAGTACATATATTCACTTTCGTTTCGTAATGCATAACGTCTTTTTAAGGTTCTTTTAAAACAAAATTTATAAAATATTAATAACATATATATAATAAATAATTCTTAGCTTATAAACATATTTACATAATAGTAATAACAAATAAATAGATAATTGATATAATAACAAAATAAAAACTAATATGCTTTTTGTACATGTGTAAGACCCAAAATTTGCAATGCAGGCTTTCAAGATTTGAAAAATATAAGCTCGCAAGTTTTATTTGCAACTTATTTGATGGATCGTTTTGCTTACATACATATTATATATTCAATCTTGGAAGAGCCAAGCCCAACCGATAAGGCATCTCATATTAAGGCTAATATATACAGTATTAACTTATTAAGATCGTACTGCCACCCGTGTATCGGTTCTTAAAGTTAAGATTTGCATATTTTCTTAAAAATGTTCTAGAAATTGAAATGATGTTGTATTATTTATATTGAATAATCTAAAAAGTTCAAGTTTATATCTAGTTCATTGTATTATATTAAACCGAACTAGTGTTGATGAACTTACCCCAACTATTTAAACTGATATGTTTTGTAGTCATATAATTTTGTATTTTTCGATTTCAATCTCACTCCTAAAAGAACAAAACTTACTCATTTGTCAGTGGAAGTGTGCATATGCTTGAAAGACCACTTACACAACATGGAACGAATACAAAATGTTTCCCAGCTTGAAAGAGAAACGTTGAGGGTCGAACAGAAATTCGATAAACAAGAAATATCGATGAGAACGTCGGTACCAGTTACCATACAAGGGCTTGAATATGAATCGGAATTATGCAACATGACTGAGGATGACTAAATTCAAACAACGACAATGACTACGAACAATAAAAAAACAACACTAAAAAAAAGTGAGAAAAACCATTATGATGACAATGATGTTTTATGTTTTTTTATTTGAAGATATATTAATTTAATGTTTTATGTATTTTCATGATCATAAAACCAATAAAAAATAAGAAAAATAAAGAAAATTGCTCCAAAAATGTTGATGCCTTCAACTCTTGTGTCTTAACCTTCATTTCATTTTTGCTTTCTCATTGGCTTTTAACTTGGGCTAAGACACACACAAATAAAAAAAATGAGAAAAATCATTACGATGACAATGATGTTTTATGTTTTTCTATTTGAAGATATATTAATTTAATGTTTTATGTATTTTCATCATCATAAAACCAATAAAAAATAAGAAAAATAAAGAAAATTGCTCCAAAAATATTGATGCCCTTCAACTCTTCTTTCATTTTTGCTTTCTCCTAGCTTTCAACTGTGGGCTAACACACACACACACACAAAAAAAACACAAACAAAAAGTGAGAAAAACCATTATGAAGACAATGATGTTTATGTTTTTCTATACGAAGATATATTAATTTAGTGTTTTATGTATTTTCATGATCCTAAAACCAATAAAAAAATAAGAAAATTGCTCTAAAAATGTTGATGTCTTCAACTCTTATGCCGTCTACGTTCATTTTATTTTTGCTTTCTCCTTGGCTTTCATCTGTGGGCTAAGACAGACACACACAAAAGAAAAAAAGAAATGGATTTCTTAATTTTGGTCTAGTCATATTTCACAAAATCAAAAAATGGTTTTCTCTCCCAACCGTGTTACAATCTGGTCTGGTTCTATTCGTATAGGTTTGATTTTTTGGTAGAATCGGTTTGAAACCAATTTGGTTTCTGAAAAATTTGGTTTTGACTATCGTGACTATGAATCCTTCAAGTTGAACTGTAAAGTGCAGACAATTACAATGTCTTATATTGTCAATCAGTAAAGTTTGCTTAAGGGTTGATTATGAAATCATCTGGTTTGACTATGAATCCTTCAAGTTGAACTATAAAGTGCAGACAAGTACAATGCCTTGTCTTGTCAATCACTAAAGTTTTCTTATGGTTTGACTATGAAATCATCTGGTTTAACTATGAAGTAATCCAATTTCAATACCAACTTTTGTATATTTATAATCAGATTCGTTTGATTTTCCTAATACACTTTCATTACATGTGAAAATGACTTCTTACAACCAAAAAAGCTTTTGTGACCTACCAATATTCTTTCATAATCTTAAAAGAACAAATCCTAATACCTTCACAACCATCAAGAAAACATATACCGACCGCTTTCAATTCTGTTTCGTGGCTTTTAATACAAATTATGTTTTCCCATAAAATTCAATGCCTTTCATTAAATCGTATATATTCTCAATACATGTACATAACTGGGCTAGGTATACATAAGTGGGCTTATAAACATAAAGACCATAGAAAATATATAAAACAATATACTAAAGGAGAATATTATGTCTAACATCCCCCCGTAGTCTGAACGGGACCTCGAGAACGGACGTTCAGACTAGATCTAAAATCAAGAAACAATGTGGATGGCAGGCCTTTAGTAAAAATGTCAGCATACTGAGAAGACGATGGGACATGAAGGACACGTATCTGTCCCAAAGCAACCTGGTCACGAACAAAATGGATATCAATCTCTATATGTTTGGTGCGTTGATGTTGAACTGGGTTGGAGGACAAGTAGACCGCACTAACGTTATCACAGTATACCAGGGTGGCAGATAGAGGGGGATAAAGGAGCTCACGTAGCAGGTTGCGTAACCAACATGTCTCAGCAACGACATTCGCAACACCCCAATACTCTGCTTCAGCACTAGAACGAGAGATCGTACCCTGTCTTTTAGATGACCATGAAAGAAGATTCTGACCTAAAAACACGCAATATCCAGAAGTAGAGCGACGAGTAGAAGGACAGCCAGCCCAATCAGCATCAGAGTAGGCAATAAGACCATGCGACGGAGATATGTATAGTTGAAGACCATGATCCAAAGTGCCATGTAGATACCGGAGAATACGCTTAAGAGCCGTGAAATGAGGCTCCCGAGGATCATGCATATAGAGACAGACCTGCTGAACAGCATAAGTAATGTCTGGTCTGGTAAAGGTCAGATACTGAAGTGCACCAGCGAAACTGCGGTATAAAGTGGGATCAGAGACAGGAGGACCCATACCATCAAACTTGGCAGATGATTCCGCTGGGGTTCGTGCGGGTTTGCAATGACGCATACCAGCACGATCAAGAATCTCCGTGGCATACTTCTGTTGAGATAGAAACATTCCATGTCTGTCACGTGTAACAGCAACACCCAGAAAATAGTTTAGAGCACCCAAATCAGTCATTGAGAATTCTGAACGGGGAGAATCAATGATTTGTTGAAGAAGAGCAGAGGATGAGGCAGTTAAGACAATATCATCCACATAAAGGAGCAAATACGCGATCCGGTCACCCTGTCTGTAAATAAAAAGAGAAGTATCGGATCTACTGTTAGTAAAACCACGACCGGTGATGAACTGAGCGAAACGGTGGTACCAAGCACGGGGTGCCTGTTTTAGTCCATATAAGGACTTCTTTAATAAACAAACATGAGTAGGAGCGGACGAGTCTCGGAACCCGGGGGGGCTGATGCATGTAGACAGTCTCCTGAAGATTCTCGTGAAGAAAAGCATTCTTCACATCTAGCTGATGAACCGGCCAATGATGAGAAATTGCCAAGCTGAGAACGGTGCGTATCGTAGCCGGTTTAACAACCGGACTAAAAGTCTCATCACAGTCAATATCAGGACGTTGACTACGACCATTTGCCATGAGACGCGCCTTATAGCGAGCTAGAGACCCATCTGCATTATGTTTCTGTTTAAACAACCAAATACAATTAACCACATTAGCATCGGGGGGCCGAGGCACAAGCTCCCAAGTCCCGTTAGAAATAAGTGCATTAAATTCTTCTTTCATAGCATTTAACAAGTTAGGATCTTGAAACGCTTCAGAATAAGAACGCGGGACATGGGAGGAAGATGACTCGACATGAAGATTAAGTTTATCAATGGGTTTGACAATACCGTGGCGTTTACGAGTGCCCATAGGATGAGTGCTTGTAGTGATAGGATGAACCGGAGCACGAGGAGGACCAGACACATCCGAAGAAGAGGTACCAATAGTAGAAGAAACAGGAGTAACAGCAGCCGAGTTGGGTTGTTGAGTGGCAGGATCTGGACCAAAAGAATGAGGGCCAGTGTTATGAGAGGGTGTGGGTTGAGAATTGAGGGGTTGAGCTCTATGAGAAGGGTGATTAAACATGTTGCGTGTCTCCTCAATATGTAAGAAATCATAGTTAGGAGAATCATTTGGAGTCATTAAACCAAAGGGAAATACGGTTTCGTCAAAAGTTACGTGACGGGAAATGATGATTTGGTTTGTTTCAAGGTTAAGGCAGCGATATCCTTTATGAATCGAGGGGTAACCAAGAAAAATACAAGGAATAGAACGAGGTTGAAGCTTGTTGGTATTTTTAAGGTGAGGATAGCAAAGACACCCGAAGACACGAAGGTGAGTATAAGTGGGATATTTTTGAAAGAGTTTGTAGTATGGGGAGTCATTCTTAAGGGTGGTGGAGGGAAGAATATTTAGGAGGTGAGTAGCCATATGGAGAGCTTCAACCCAATATATGGGAGGTAGGTGAGCTTAAAAGAGAGGTGTGCGAATGGTGTTATTTATGGTACGAAGCATGCGTTCAGTTTACATGTTTTGTTGAGAAGTGTACGGGCAAGAGAAACGCATATGAATGCCATGAGTGGTGCAAAGATTATGAAACTGGGAGTTGTCAAATTCTTTTCCATTGTCACATTGAAAAGTTTAGATATCTGTGTGAAATTGATTTTTGATATAAGCACGAAATATGACAAACTTGGAGAAAACATCAGATTTGTTACGTAGGGGATACACCCACAAAAAATGAGAAAATTGATCTAGAAAAATGATATAATATTTAATACCACTATGACTTTCCAACGGGGAAGTCCAAACATCAGAATGAACAACTTGAAAGGGAAATAAAGCTTTAGTTTTAGACAAAGCAAAAGACAAACGGACATGCTTGCCAAGTTGACAAGCATGGCAAAGTAAATGAGAATCTTTTTTATTACAAGAAATGACTTTATTTGATAATAGATGCTTGAACACTTGCTGGCCGGGATGACCGAGACGTTGATGCCACGTGGAAGACTTGACACTAACAAAAGCTTGAGGAGTTGGACTTGTAACGGGATAGAGATCACCGGTGCTATCGCATCGAAGAAGAATTTGTTTCGTTAAAAAGTCCTTCACAGAAAAACCAAATTCATCAAACTCAATAGAACATTTATTATCACGGGTGAACTTACGCACAGAAACAAGATTTTTAATAATTCGGGGGGTAATAAGAACATTTTATAAATGAAGCGTTCGAAACAGATTATAACCAAGAGTGGTGTTACCCGTTTCTGTGATGGGAATGCGAGATCCATTACCGACTAAAACTGAGAAATTAGAATTATTACATTTATTGCTAAAGGACTGGAGAATACCTGGGTCGGCGTTAAGGTGAGCGGTGGCACCAGTGTCCATGTACCAGTCTGCAGTTCCCGGATCATGAAGATTCATAGTGGAGAAAGCATGTGGTAAAAGGGTGGCTTGATCCGACGAAGCATAGGGAGAATTGGACCAGCCAGAAAAATTGGTAGTGGGTTGTCCATTACAGAATAGAGCTTGCTGCTGGCCCTGAGAAGGCTGATTCCAAGGAAATTGAGTGGAAGGCGCATGAGAGCTGGATTGATTAGTCCATTGGGCTGCTGGCCAGTGGGCCGAAGATGGTGGAGTCGGAAGCAGGCCACGTTGAAGTGGGTAGTAGACAGGCCAAGGAATCGATGATCCCCAGCCCTCAAAAAAATTACCAGTGCCGCCTTTAGGACGAGATGAGCGACCACGACCCCCTCTACCATTGCGACCTCCTCTTCCACCGCTGCCACCGCCGCGGGAGCCATTGCTGCTACGAGATATGTTATTGGAGGAGTTTGTGGATCGGGATTGGTGCTCGGTAGCAAGAACGGTAGGGGAAGAGGAAGTATCACAGTTAGATGTTTGAAGACCACGTTTTGGTTCTTTTAACATGGAGCGTTCCTCATTAGATAGCATAGAACGCATCTCCAAAAACGAGGGAAAAGGTTTGGAGTACCGGATCGTAGGGATGATGTGGGCATAAGTAGAAGGTAGGCCATTGAGAGCATACATGACGAGAGATCTCGGGGGCACAGGAGATCCGATATTAGAAAGGAGATCGGCAATGGCCTTGATCTTGGTACAGTATTCAAGAATGGTGGAGTTGCCAAGAGTGATATTTCGAAGTTCATCCTCCAATTCAATTGCTTGAGATTCCTTACTTTCGTGAAAGAGATCCTGTAGGGCACCCCATATGTCGGCAGCAGTACAACCTGGTTTGATGATCGATTGAAGAACAGGTTGGGATAGAGTGGCATACAACCATTGTTTAACTACATTATCTACTCGAGGCCATGATGGGTCGTCCGGTATAGGGTCAGGAGGTTCAAGGTGATCGAACACCTCATAGCCACGACAGTGAGTCTGAAAAAGTTCCTTCCAAGCGTCATAGTTGAGTCGATCGATGTCAAGAATGAGAGGCACATAAGATTTTATGTTGGTAATTCCGTATATCTTGTCGGTGGGACAAGAGGTGGGGATAGAAGAGTCTTCTTTAGGAGGCATGGAATGGAGAAGCACAGAGGAGCAGAAGACGCAGAGAAGCAGAAGAAGAAGATACTGTGTGATAAGGGATCGGCTAGGGTTGGCACGTAGAAAGGCCTGATACCATATTACAAATTATGCTTTCCCATAAAAGTCAATGTCTTTCATTAAATCGTATATATACTCAATACATGTACATAACTGGGCTAGGTATACATAAGTGGGCTTATAAACATAAAGACCATAGAAAATATATAAAACAATATACTAAAGGAGAATATTACGTCTAACAACTTTAGGTTGCGTGGTATGTCATCTTTATTTTATTGATTTAATTAATAGTTGTAGGTAATGTAGCTCCTTTAGATTTTGCATGTGACTGATATAAGTATTTTTAATTTTTATGTAGATTCGTACCTTCCTTAGGTGGATGATACCATTAATATATGTGGGTTATTTACCCCTACTTGGCAACTATCTGACAACAATGTACTTTGCGATGGCTTTGGACGGAAATCATGAACCCCTACTGTTAGCAGTTGGTTTGGGAACCTTAGAGTGTGAGGAATCTTGGGCATGGTTCATGAGGAAGTAAAAAAGAATGTTTAGGTAACATTAAAGAGGTTGGTTTCATAAGCCACCTATGTGATAAAATAGACTTTGTCGTTGGGAGAATCTACCCATATTCATATCATGGGTATTGTCCTAAAGATATAGCTCGGAAAATACGAGATTCTGTCGGACATAATGATACCATTGTCGAAAAGCTGTTTTGGAAGTCATGTAGTGCATATAGTGTCCATGAATTTTACTTGTGTTTGGAAAGCTTTCAAAGTGCATGTAGGAATCCAATTGTATGGTTTGACAATATAACCATATCAAAATGGGCATGGGCATTTTTTTTTTCCTAAAGTACGTTATAATGTTAAATTGATTGATATTCCTATAATTGTGAATATTATATCCACCTATACATATGAGTTACCTATAACAACAATCATTGAGTTAACCAATCAGTCGATTCAAGTGACATATGTTGAACGGGCTGAAGTTAGAGGTAAATTTATACTTATAATTTTTTATTTCTTGTGTTATTATTTCTAAATTAACAAATTTCACAGGGAGGATTTCTATTGGTGTGATCACTTATGCTGAGAATAAGGTTCAACAGCGAGTGAACAAGTCTTATAATTGTGAGGCGGGACGTATTTGAAGGTATATTAATTTAATGTTTTATGTATTTTCATGATCATAAAACAATAAAAAAAATAAGAACATTAAAGAAAATTGCTCCAAAAATTGTTGATGCCTTCAACTCTTCTGCCTTCTACCTTCATTTCATTTTGCTTTCCCCTGACTTTCAAATGTGGGCTAACACACACACAAAAAAAAAAAGTGAGAAAAATCATTATGATGACAATGATGTTTTATGTTTTTCTATTTGAAGATATATTAGTTTAATGTTTTATGTATTTTCATGATTCTAAAACTAATAAAAAAGATAAGAAAATTGCTCTAAAAATGTTGATGCCTTCTACGTTTATTTCATTTTTGATTTCTCCTCGGCTGTCATCCGTAGGCTAAGACATACACACAAAAAAAGAAAAAAAGAAATCGACATCTTAACTGTGGGCTAGTCATATTTCACAAAATCAAAAAATGGTTTTCTCTCCCAACCGTGTTACAATCCGGTCCGGTTCTATTCGCATAGGTTTGATGTTTTGGCAGAATCGGTTTGAAACCAATTTGGTTTCTGAAAAAATTGGTTTTGACTATTGTGGTTATGAATCTTTCAAGTTGAACCGTGAAGTGCAGACAATTAAACAAAAACAACAAAGGCTTATTTTGCAACAAAAAAAATATCAATAACTAAATATGCAAAATAAATATTAAGAACTAAAGTCTACAAAATGAGAAATATATTACATTTTACGTCAATTTTTACCGGCTTATCTGGAATAGGCGGTTATAAGGATTGAATGTATACAGTTTAACAAGTTGAAGGAGTAAATGTAAACGAAAAAAAACTCATTAACCAAATATGTAAAAACCGAAAAATATATTATCTTTTAAGTAATTATTCCCAATGTTTTAAACACCGGTTTGAACCGTACGGTCGAATCGGTTGGACCGGGAACCGGGTAAGGAAGCAGTTCAACTATCACCGGTTTATGTCTATTTCTGAACCGGAACGAACCGGCCAATTTTTACAAAAATCCGGTTAAACCGGTTAAATTGAATAAAAACACATGAAATTGAAACATTTTGCATAATAAACTTTGGTGGTTTTTTCACATCTATAAAAAATTTTCTAAATAAAAACACATGATAAATTTTATAAAGTTTTTTGATGTATTTGTATTCGTCTAGGACTTTATTTTCTTTTTAATGCACGTGGATTGATATAAAACTTATGGTTGTGTGTTATTTTAATGTATTTAGATTGATCTACAACTTGTTTTCTTATGTATTTTTAATGTTTGAACTTGTGGACATCAAATTCTTGATTTATATATGTATGTATAGAAAAATACGAAGAAAGATGAAAATTTTAGAAACCGGTTTTACTCGGCGGTCGAACCGGTTAAACTGGAAACCGTTCACCATACCGGTTCAACTAAAAAACCGGTTTTTAAAACATTGATTATTCATTTTTAATACGTGTTAATTTTTGAGTTGGACTCGTACACAATTTCATAGGAAATTCAAAATTAGTTATAAAAGACATCTCAGAAAAAATTTAGAATTATGCTATTTTTCAATTAGTCAAAAATTATTTATCATGATCACTAGCGAATTGTTATTTCTTTTGTCGGAATTGATCATATACATAATTTAACAAATTTATCGGTATCCTCAAAATATCTTTAAATTCATGAATGATAATTTAATACTGGAAATATAAACAGTCAAAGAAGAAATATAATTATTTTGACTTAAATATATGTGATTTATCCCCCCATTAACTTAAATATATATCACTGTCGTCATCAAATATCTGAAATGAAATAAAATAAGGTTGGAAGTGTCGGACCACGTTATATAACTAGGGAGAAAAGGGGGTGGGTGTGTGAACATAATTCTCGCGCATTATATATATATATATATATATATATATATATATATATACTAAGCGAATGCCTGCGCGTTGCGCATAAACATCTATATAGCTAAAATCTTTACAAATATATGTTTTTTTAAATATAACAATAATGTTGTTAAATTTGATATAATAATTCGTATACTAAGTTGATATAATATATTGATTATTTTGAATGACCTCTACCCGCGGGTTACTCATGAATAAAATTAAATATAATATATCGTTTAATGTTATTTATAGTTGTTGTTATTGTTAATTATTTTTTTAAAATTTATTTGCTTAAAGTTTTAATTTCTATCATTGTAATTATTTAAAACATCAAATAATTCTTATTTTTTATTTATTTTAAAGGTAACAATAAAATCATTTATGTAGACTTATTTTTAACTATCATTATTGTAAGTTATTTTAAGATACTTATTTGAAAACTTTTAATGATTATAAAATATCTTTAGGAAATATTTTAGTTAAATTGATATACAATTTAGTTTTTGCATTCAGCATTACAATTTATCACTTTTAACTATTCACAAAATATTCTTTGAGTTTTTTAAGTGAAACTGAAATTTATATTAAAGTTGACCCTGTAATGTTATATTTAAATTAACAATTTAAGTATTTTGTCCAAACTGTTCAAAAACTGTAGCTTTAATTTGATAATGGTTTACATACAACAACATATTAAATCTAATAAATTAAGTATAATATGTTAAAAGTTAAAGACATAACTTTATAAGTAGAAGTAAAAATATTATTTTAATATTGAAATTTAGTTTATTTATGATTACACTTTAGGTTTGATACTTATTTAACCTTATTAACCAACTTGTAATCATTATTAGAAAGACACTACAATTTATCACTTTTAACTATTTACAAAATATTCTTTAGGTTGTTTAAGTTGAACTAAAATTTATATTGAAGTTGATCCTGTAAGGTTATATTTAAATTAACAATTTAAGTATTTTATACAAATTGTTCAAAAGTTGTAGCTTTAAAATGATAATGGTTTACTTACAACAACATATTAGACCTAATAAATGAAGTATAATATATTAAAAGTTAAAAACATAACTTTATAAGTAGAAGAAAATATATTCTTTTAATATTGAAATTTAGTTTATATATGATTACACTTTAGGTTTTATATTTATTAACCTTATTAACCAACTTATAATCATTATTAGAAAGAAATTGAAAAGTTATGGGAGTTTCAAATGAATGTGGTGAAAGGAAAATAAATGAGAGTTTCAAATGAATGTGGTAAAAAGAAAAATGCTCATGGCACTCATGGCATGTTTCAACAGTAACTTTCTTTCGTTTCTCACTTTTGTCACACGGTTTTTATATATTTGTAAGACTGCACGGTTTGTTTAGCTAATTCACACTTTACCCTCAATTTTTTCATCGTCTATTAATATTTGCA